TAGAAATAGAAATACCATATGATTCAGCAAGCCTACTCCTAGGAATATATCCTAGAGAAATAAGAGCCATCACACGAATAGACATATGCATACCCATGGTCACTGCAGCATTGTTCACAATAGCAAAAAGATGGAAACAACCTAGATGCCCGTCAACAGATGAATGGATAAACTATGGTATATACACACAATGAAGTATTATATAACGATAAAGAACAATGATGAATTTGCTTAGCATCTCATAACATGGATGAATCTGGAGGGCATTACGCTCAGTGAAATAAGTCAATCACAAAAGGACAAATATTATATGAGACGACTACTGTAAAAACTCATGAAAAGGTTTACACACAAAAAGAAACAATCTTTGATGGTTATGAGGGAGGGGAGGGGTGGGGTGGAACACTAAACAAACAATACATAAGTGGTAACTTTCATGAAGGGTAAGACAGTACACAATACTGGGGAAGCCAGCACACCCTGTACAAGGCAAGGTCATGGAAGCTCCATAGACACATCCAAACTCCCTGAGGGACCAAATTACTGGGTGGAGGGCTGTGGGGACCATGGTCTCAGGGAACATCTAGCTCAACTGGCATAACATAGTTTACAAAGAAAATGTTCTACATTCTACCTTGGCGAATAGCGTCTGGGGTCTTAAAAACCTGTGAGCAACCATCTAAGATACTCCACTGGTCTCACCCCTTCGGGAGCAAGGGAGAATGAAGAGAACAAATACAAGGAAAAGATGAGTCCAAAGGACTAATGGACCACAACTACCACGGCCACCACCAGTCTGGGTCCATTACAACTAGATGTTGCCCAGCTACCACCACCAACTGCTCTGACGCTCTGACAGGGATGACAATAGTGGGTCCTGGACAGAGCTGGAGACAAATGTAGAACAAAATTCTAACTCACAAAAAAAAACTAGACTTACTGGCCTGACAGAGACTGGAGAAACCCTGAGAGTATGGCCCCCAGACACTCTTTTAGCTCAGTGATGAATTCACTCCCAAGGTTCACCCTTCGGCCAAAGATTAGATAGGCCCATAAAAAATGAGACTAATGGGGCACAACAGCCCAGGGACAAGGACTAGAAGGCAGGAGGGGACAGAAAGCTGGTAATAGGGAACCTAAGTTCAAGAAGGGAGAGTGTTGACATGTCGTGGGGTTGTTAATCAGTGTTATAAAACAATATGTGTACTGTTTAATGAGAAACTATTTGTTCTGTAAACTTTAAAGTACAATAAAAAAAAATTTTTTTTTAAATGAATTAGGTTTTACAAATTCCATCATACCCAAGGGTAATCCTATCCCCTCTGGCAAAGATGTAATTAAGAGCAGATGGCCACTGGACACAGGAATGGCTGGAAAAGGGAAATATACAGGGATCACTCAAAGGTCCACTTTGGGAAGCGTATAAATTGTTACTACTTTTTAATACCATCTTACACTATTTTTAAGCATTTTCACAACAATAATATAGAATTGGAAGTCAAAGTTACTGGAAAAAAAAAACAGTATTTGTATAAAAAAAAAAAAAGAAATTACCAGACCTACAAAGAAACAATTACGACCTATAAAAACAAGGAAAGAAAAATCAATCAATAGAAATAGTCCCAGAAATTACACAGATGATAGAATAAGTAGACAAGGGTATAACAGTACCTATCATAAATATATTCCATATATTCAAGAGGCAGGTGAAAGCATGAGCATGATAAAGATTGGAAGATATTAAAATGTCCAGATTGAACTTCTAGAGATGAAAAATATATAATATCTGAATAAAAGTACACTAGATGTAACTAACAGCAGATTGGTGAACTTGAAGACATAGCAATAGAAACTATCCAATATAAGACACAAAGAGAAAAGACAAAACTGAAAAAAAAAGAAGAGATGATCAAAGACCTGTGGGGGACAACATTATACTAATCTATATGTAATCAGAGCCCCAGAATGCAGTTGAGTGGTTAGAAAAATATTTAACTAAATAATGGCCAAAATTTTTTCAAATTTGTTAGAAACTACAAAGCTACAGATCTCAGAAGCTCAGCAAACCTTCAGTGCTGGGGGGTGGGGGGTGGAAACGGAGAAAACTACACTGAGGCACATCATAATCAGCTTCCTTGAAACCAGTGATAAAGAGAAAATCTGAAAAGCAGCTGGAGAAAAAGGACATATTATGAATAGTGGGGGAAAAGAGATAATAAAGACAGGAGACTTCATGTTAGGAAAAAAAATGCAAGGAAAAAAATAGAGAAGCATCTTTAAATTACTAAAAGACAAGCAAACAAAAACTTGCTATGAATCCAGCAATGTATAGCCAGTGAAAACAACTCTCAAAAGTGATCTTTTCACACTCACACAAAAGTTGAAAGAATTCATCAGCAGCAGACTAGCACCACTAAAAATATTAAAGTCCTTCAGGAGAAAGAAAGAAAATGATACCAGATAGTAATCTGGGTCAACACAAAGGAATGAAGAACATCAGAAATAGTAAATATGTGGGTAAACAGACTTTTTCCTTACTTTTAAATTTTCTTTACAAGATAACTTGCTATATTAAAAATACAGTAACAATGTATTTTACAGCTTATAACATACAGAAGTAGCACAAAGATGGAAGTATATTATAGTAAGATTCTTATACTATACGTGAAGTGGTATATTACTTGATAGTAGATGTGAGAAGTTAAATAATACACTGTAAACCTATTGGCAAGCAGCCACTTAAAAAAAAATGGCTAAGACTAAATTCCTTCCCCCCTAAGATTAGCTACAAGACAAAGATGTCCTGTCTTACCACATTTACTCAACATCAAAATGGAAATTTTAGACAGTGCAGTAAGGCAAGAAAAGAAATTAAAAAGCACATACATTAAGAAGAACAAAATATAACTGACCTTTTTTGAAGATGACATGATTGTCTACACAGAAAGTTCTAAGGAATCTACAATAAACTCCCAGAATTAATGAAGTGAGTTTAGAAAAGTTGCAGAATACAATGTCAGTGTCTTAGGCTGGGTTCTCTAGGGGCGCGTATATATCTGAAGAGATTTATCTCAAGGAAATGGCTCATGTAGTTGTGGTGACTGGCAAGTCCATGGGACACGTGTCAGGCTAGAGGTTTTGTGTAACTCACTTGGTTGCAGGGGCTGATGAACCCAAAATCGGCAGGTCAGGTGGCAGGTTACCGGCTTATATCCCAAGAAACGGAGGTCAGAGGATGACGAGTTGGATGCAGGATCCAGAGCAAGCTTTGCCAGAACATCCATATATACTGGATGCAGGCCACACCCCCAAGGAAACTGACTGGCTTTCAACTGATTGGCTGCTCACATCAGATCACAAAATGGAGAATGATTACATAATATCTGCCAAGCCACTGAGAATCATGGCCTAGCCAAGTTGACACATAACTTTAACCATCACAGTCAGTATAAAATAATCAGTTGTATTCCTATATACTAGGAATGAAAAATTAAAATAACTAGTAACAAAATAACATCAAAAATTTGAAATTCTGCTGGAGCAAAATGTAGAACAAAATTCTAACTCACAAAAAAAAAAAAAAAAAAGACTTACTGGCCTAACAGAGACTGGAGAAACCCTGAGAGTATGGTCCCCGGACACCCTTTTACCTCAGTAATGAAGTCACTCCTGAGGTTCACCCTTCATCCAAAGATTAGACAGGCCCATAAAACAAAATGAGACTAAAGGTGCACACCAGCCCATGGGCAAGGACTAAAAGGTAGGAGGGGATAGGAAAGCTGGTAATAGGAAACCCAAGGTCAAGAAAGGAGAGTGTTGACATGTCGTTGGGTTGTTAACCAATGTCATAAAACAATATGTGTACTAACTGTTTAATAAGAAGCTAGTTTGTTCTATAAACCTTCATCTAAAGTTCAATAAAAAAAATTTTAAAAATAAATAAATTTGAAATTCTTAGGTACACATTTGACAAAATGTTTAAGACCTGTACAGTAAAAACTAAAGAATATTGCTGAGAGAAGTTATAGAAGAGCTAAATAACTGTAGAGATGTACCATGTTCATGGATCACAAAACTAAATATCACTGAGATGTTAATTCTCCCCAAATTAATTTATAGATTCAATGCTTCAGTGCAGTACCAATCAAAATCTCAGGTTTTTTGAAGGAATTAACAAGGTGATTCTAAAATATATATGTTCAAATATACATTTTTTAGAGATATATATATATATATATATATATATATACAGGAAATATAAATGACTTGGAATAATCAAAACAGTTTTTAAAAAGAACAGAATTTGAGCATATATATTACCTTCTTTCAAGATTTATTAAAAACGTGCAGTAATCAAGACAATGTTGTGTTAGCATAAATATATACCAATGAATCAGAATAAGAGAGTCCAGAAACAAACCCAATATATAGAGTCAATTGATTTTCAACAAAGGTAATTCACTGGGGAAAACAATAATATTTTTATCCAATGGTGCTTGAACAGTTGGCTAGTCACATGGGGGTGGGGATTAACCTTGACCTTTAACCTCAAACCATATATAAAAATTAACTCCAAATGGATCCATTTATATAAAATTCTAGAAAATGCAGACTAACCAACAGTGACAGGAAACAGATCAGTAGTTTCCTGGGAAGAGGAAGATAGGATGGGGGTTGGAGGGATGCATTATAAAGGGGAGAGAGGAAACTTTGTAGTGATGGATATGTACATTATTTTGATTGTGTCAGTAGTTTTATGAGTGTGTACACATATCAGGATTTATTAGATAGTGCACTTTAAATATATGCTACTTAATGTATGTTGATTATACCTCAATAATGTTGTAGAATAAAACCTTTGCAAAGTTTTGAGATTTTGTCAAGGTATTTGCTCTATATTGTGTCATTCCATTGTGTTTCTGGATGTAAAATACACATTTTTTTTTAAAGTTCTAAATAACCTACCTCCCCATTTACACATACACACTTTTATTTTTCAGATTGAGTATGAAGACAGAGCACCAGAGTGCCGTCTGGGTCTGAAGGAGGGCCGACCATTCTCAGGGGTCACTGCATGTCTGGACTTCTGTGCTCATGCCCATAGAGATTTGCACAACATGCAGAATGGCAGCACATTGGTAAGTGGGGGCTGTGGACATGGTAGCAGCACCTCCAGTTGAATAGTAAGGGCTGAAAATTAGCAGCATTTGGTTCGAGTAATATGTTCTCTGCAAGTGTCACTGCATGACAGTGTTTTCATGAATGAATTGCTGTTGTATGGTGACCTTGTTTGGCATAACTGGTACTCTTTGTACATTAGGAAACACTGTTGACAAGGGCAAGAGAATCATGGAAATTCTTAGTACTAATATAAACCAGTGACTGTGCATTGTTGTTGTTACTGTTGAGACAGCTCTGACTTATGGCATTCCTATGTGCAGCAGAATGAAATGGTACCCAAGTCCTGGACCATCTTCAAGGTCATTGGTATTATAGAGTCAATTGTGGCTACTGTGTATTTTGAGTGCCTTCCCACCCAGGGTGCTTATTTTCCAGGACTATATCTGGACAGTCTTCTGTAGTGATTGAGTTTTCATTGGCTAATTTTCAGATGTAGATTGCCAAGCCTTTCTTCCTAGTCTGTCTTAGTCTGGAGGCTCTGCTGAAACCTGTCCAGCATGGGTGACCCTGCCGATATTTGAAATACTGGTGGCATAGCTTCCAGCATTCACAGCAACACACAAACCACAACAGTATAACAAACTGACAGACAGGTAATGGACTGTGCATTACCAGCTACAATTAACTGCCAAAAAATCCTTCATACTTCAGTGTCAGATATCTAGTCGGTTATAATCAGCTTACACAAGCCAAGGTACCAATCTGCCTTGCAGAGAGAAGGACAAATAAGAAATGCAAAGGTGGGACGTTGTCACAGTAACTACCATAGAAGGTTCAGAATGCAAAAGAGCCCATCATGACAGTACCTATATTACAGTGAATGAAATGGATTGGGTCTTGTTAATTGGAGGCTTTGGTGAGGGGAAAAGGGGGATAAGCTCTTAGGTCTAAGCAGGTTTCATACCTACAAAACCCAGGGTGTGGCTTTGCATGTACAGAGGGATGATGCAGAGTAGTGATAAAGAGTGAAAAGTGTAAGGAAGTCAAGAAACTATAAATTAATCAATCTAATGGGTCATCAACATGGATGTATTTGAGGAAGATGACCAATGACACATAAGATGACAAATAGAAGCCAGGCATTAAAGTCATCTGATAGGGTAGAAAAGAATTCAGGGTGGTAATAGGTGAAGCTGAAGTAATTTGAAGAAGCTGGTGTGAAGTTTTTATTGAGAAGCAGAGAAGGTATTGGTTTGATGATCTAGAGCAGGTGTTGGAAAAATTCTTCTATAAAGGGCCAGGCAGTAAGTATCATACTTGGTAAAGTAGAGGGTCAGCAAAAAAGAGGAAAACCCTCAAGAAGATGGACTGACACAGGGGCTGCAACAATGGGTTCAATCACAGCAACAATTCTGAGGATGGCACAGGACCAGGCAGTGTTTCGTTCTGTTGTATACAGGGTCACTGCGACTTGGAACCGATTCAACGGCACCCACCAACAACAGTAAACATTTTAGACTTTGCAGGCCACACAGGGTCTCTGTCGCTACTTTTTGTTGTTGATGTTGTTTATTTGTTTGTTTAACCATTTAAAAATGTAAAAACCACTCTAAGTTTGCTGGCCATACAAGAACAGGCTGTGAAGCAGACTGGCCACAGGCCGTAGTTTGCCAACCTCTGATCTAGGGGAGCAAACCCAAGTATTCCTATCTACCCTGACATCTGAAATCATCACTAATCATGTATTGAGCACCTGCTCATTACTAGGAGGCTATGCTACATGCTAGGAAGTGGAAGAAATAAATGAGAGCTAGAGCTCTGTAGTTCCTGGAGATAGCCATGTATCATTTCAACACGATGATAGCAGGTAGACAGAGGATGAGAACAATGTTTAGAATGAAGAGGGGCTTGACTCTGCTAGGTCACAGGTTCTGTGAAGCACTAGACATGAAAGAACTGAGTAGGGGTAAGTGTGTGGGGAAAGGGACCATGGTGCTCTGACACAAGGGTTTGAAATACTTTTATGTGTAGGAAATAAAAAACTCATTTTACTACCATCTCATGTTAAACTTATTTATAAACCAAGTCTGTTATAATCACCATCAAATTCCTTTCCAGTCTATCTTTCAAAGATTTTATATTACCTTGCATTTTAGATTAACCATAGTCACATTCTCCCCATTGATCAAAAATCAACTAGTGTTTAAAAACTAACAAATAATCCTTCACCAAACACAACATAGTTGTGGCTAGCAAAAGAAACAGCTTCCCACTGAATGATCAAAGCAAGAGATTTTTTTTTTTCAGAGTACCCCCTTTGTACGTAGTGCTATCTCAGAAAAAAAATGAGAGAAGAGAAACAGTAAGTTGGGTTAACAGAGAACAGAGAAAGAAAGAAGAAAAAGAAAGGTAGAAACAATGTCAAGTTACGTATTCCCTACATCTACCAAATCTCCAACTTTTCATTATTTAGATTTTCACTCTGGCATCATGTGAAAATGTCCTAAACATAGTGAAGGAGTCAGGTATGAGGAAAGGTATGAAATTTCTTTGTGTTCAAGAGTATGAGACGAGGCAAATGTGACACTACCAAAAACAGAGGAGGTCATTTGGTAGAAGAAACTTTAAGCCTCTTTTTCTATCACATCCTATTTTTGAAATGTAAAAAGTGGGGAGATGACTTCATTTGGGTAGGAGTATTGCCTCTTCCCTTACAATCAGAAATAAATATGAAAAACTGAGTCATCACAGGTAAACTAAACTGCTAAACTAAAAAGTATGGTCAATGTGAACTTGTCTTTACCTCTCTGTACCATTTTGATGCAATCTTTATTAATAACACATATACATGACTTTATGGTAATGTGCACGCCACTGTTGTCTTCCAGCTAGGCCATTACCACAAGGTGCACACTGAGAGAGAAACACACACACACACACACACACCCCCACACACCCACACATACACCCACACCCCTTTTCTTTCGGACTTGAAACTGACACTGTACTATCTTATGTCCCTGCCAGGTATGTACCCTCACTAGAGAAGACAATCGAGAAATTGGCAGAAAACCTGAGGATGAGCAGCTCCATGTTCTGCCTTTATACAAAATCTCTGATATGGATGAGTTTGGGAGTGTAGAAGCTCAGGAGGAGAAAAAACGAAATGGCGCCATTCAGGTACTGAGCTCTTTTCGGCGGAAAGTCAGGATGTTAGCAGAGCCTGTCAAGACGTGCCGGCAAAGGAAACTAGAAGCCAAGAAAGCTGCAGCTGAGAAGCTTTCCTCTCAGGAGAACAGCTCCAGTAAGAATGAAAAGGAAAAGTCAGCCTCGTCACGTACAAAACAGACTGAAAATGCAAGCCAGGCTAAACAGTTGGCAGGTAAATTTAATGTGAAGCACGGTACATAGATGTGCTGTGTGATACCTGTATTACAATTAAACACTGTCAATTTCGTGATGTTAGTATCGGTCATGGTCTTAGTTCTGTTCCAGAATCTTCTCTAAAGTAGCAAGGGCCAGGCTTTCCTCTGGGAGATAGTAATGAGATACTGCACCATCAGCCCCAGCTTGATGGAGAACTTTGGATTTTATTCTATGACAAACTGCAACGTTGTATAACAGCTAAGGGATATGATGAAATTAGTCTTAATCTGGCAATGGCAGATAAGCCAAATTAGAAGTAGAGGAGCTAATAGTTTGGAAATAGATTCACTGAACCAAGAGTGACATAATAGGAGATTGAATTTTGGTGGTAGCGATGGAGATGTAGCAAAAATTGTGGAAGTGACGTCTTCTAAAATGAAAATCAATAGAATTGGGTAACTAAACATTAGAATGAAGGAGAAGAAAAATTCAAGTATAACTAACTCCAGAGTTTTAAGTCTAGATATGATTTATTAAAATAAGAAGTTTGAAAATAAGATTTATGGTGGGGGAGAGGAGAACAAGATAGCTTTCTTTAGACATGTCAAGTCTGAAGTTTCGGTATCCAAATGTAGTTGTCCTACAAAATTTTATCCACCAAAATAGGTTATGCCGATAGGAGTAGCAATACAGGATTACTGTGTTGTTGTTGTTAGGTGCCATCAAGTCAGCTCTGACTCATGGTGACCTTATGTATAACAGAATGAAACACTTACTGTTCATCAATAGCAAGTTGATATTTTCTTTCCAAAGGAAATATTAGCTGCTTTATGTAGGCAGCTAATACTGTAAAAGCTCACAGAACAAAGTTAATGCACATATTCAAATTTTGGAGATGGTATTGGCTTTGTCATTTAAAAAAGTAAAATATTTTTTAAATTTAATGTACCAGTTTGCTTAGAACCAACCATCTTTGGGGTGTACAGACTTCTGCTCACAAAGTCATATTTACCTACTGATTCATTTTCAAGTTTAGAGATAGTAAGTTAAGTAATTTAGAACAATACGCTAAAGATGCTTAATAAACATTTGTTGATTGGTTGAGTTACTAAGAGAAGTAAATTCTGTTCACTTCCTGATATCTCCTATAGGTTAGGTTAGCTGTAATATACAATGGGATAGAACTTTTTCTCTAGTCCATTCTAACAGGTTTCTACAAATTACAATCCCTTCATTTCTCAGGGCTGCCATTTCAGCTCCATTTACTTGTTCCTAACTCATATAGGGTCACTATGAGCCAGAATCAACTCGATGGAGATGGAGAACTCATATAACTTTTTTTTTTTAAGTGAAATCATGAAACAGAAGTATGACTCTTTAAAGTTTCACTTAACAAATCTGAAAGTTTCTTCAACGTTCCATCAACAACAGTGTAAATTTCCTTTCTGGAAAGCATGTTAATGAAAAAAGCGTTTGCTGATTATATGAGATACCTTTTGTCTTTTTTTTTTTTTTTTTGTCTCATAGCATTGCTGAAATCTTCCATAACAAATCTTATGTTTCTTTTATTTTAATTATTTAACAAATTGTATTCAATGCTAGGCAATGAAGACATAAAATAAGCGATGGTCCCTGGGCTCAGGACTATGCAGTGTGGAGTGGGAGGACTAAAACCAGATAATTACAATACAGTATGACTATTGCTTTATTTGATCCACGTTCACAGTGGGTATTACAAAAGAACTAGAAGATGGGGTCACAGGATTCCCTGAGGAAGAGATAACTAAACCAAGGAAGCACAGGGAGATGGCACGGAGGGAGGAAGCTATTTCTGGTAGGGGTTGTGGCATGCTCATAGACAAAGAAGCTCTAGAGAACATGATACTCTCAGTGGAATGGCTTTTGGACGTTTATCACATTTTTTCCTCACTTATCAGATTGTATTGTTAATAAGGTTTACCATTTTCATTTCTAATGCTTTAGACACAAAAAAAATTATTCTGGACAGTAATCAGAACCCTGACTTTGCTCTTGTCCTTGCTTGATGGATGTTGTATAGTCCTGGTAGGGGTTCTCACATAAGTTTAAGTTTCCTCATTAGCGTTCATAAAATTATAATCAAGCATCCTGTCCCTGCTCTCTCTTACCCTGTCCACAGAGCTTCTGCGGCTTTCAGGACCAGTCATGCAGCAGTCCCAGCAGGCCCAGTCGCAGCCCCAGCAATTGCAGAAGCAGCCACAACAGCCACAGAAGCAGCCACAGCCACAACCACAACAGCCCCCACAGCCGCAGCGACCCCAGCAGCAGCAGCCACATCACCCCTTGACTAATAACCCTCAGTCAGAGCCTATCAACTCTTACTCTTCTTCTGGACACACCAATCTATATATGAGACGGCCCAATCCAGTTAGTCCTTATCCAAGTTCTTCACACACTTCAGATATTTATGGAGGTGCCAACCCAATGAACCTCTATTCCACCTCATCCCAAGCTGCAGGATCATATTTTAATTCTTCTAATCCCATAAACTCCTATCCTGGGCTTTTGAATCAGAACAACCAATATCCAGCATATCAGTGCAATGGAAATGTATCAGTGGACAACTGCTCCCCATATCTGAGTTCCTATTCTCCCCAGTCGCAGCCCATGGATCTTTATAGATATCCAAGCCAAGACCCTCTCTCTAAACTAAACCTACCACCCATCCATACACTATACCAGCAGCGGTATGGAAATAGCCAGAGTTTTTCTTCCAAGTACCTGGGTTATGGAAACCAAAATATGCAGGGAGATGCCTTCAGCAGTTGTACTATTCGGCCAAATGTACACCATGTAGGGGCATTTCCTCCTTATTCCACTCGTGAGATTGACAGCCACTTCATGGGAGCCGCCTCTAGATTACCAGCCAATTTGAACAATCCAAACATAGACTATAAAAATGGTGAACATCATTCATCTTCTCATATCATCCATAACTACGGTGCAGCTCCGAGCATCTTCAACAGCTCTCTTCATGCCCTGCATCTCCAAAACAAGGAGAATGACATGCTTTCCCACACAGCTAATGGGCTGTTGAAGATGCTTCCAGGTCTTAACCCCGAGGGAACTATTTCTGCCCAAGAAGGCTTACACAAATTAAATGATGCTAGCAATCAGGAAAAGCAGCCTTCGGTGCCAGTCCAGGGTGTGGCTTCTGCTTCAGAGGACAATGATGAGGTGTGGTCAGACAGTGAGCAGAGCTTTCTGGATCCTGACATTGGGGGAGTGGCTGTGGCTCCATCTCATGGGTCGATCCTCATAGAGTGTGCAAAGCGTGAGCTGCATGCCACAACCCCTTTAAAGAATCCCAATAGGAATCACCCCACAAGGATCTCTCTTGTGTTTTACCAGCATAAGAGCTTAAATGAGCCCAAACATGGCTTGGCTCTCTGGGAAGCCAAAATGGCTGAAAAAGCCCGCGAGAAAGAGGAAGAGTGTGAAAAGTATGGCCCGGACTATGTGCCTCAGAAAATCCATGGCAAAAAAGTGAAACGGGAGCCCCCTGAGCCACATGAATCTTCAGAACCCACTTACCTGCGCTTCATCAAGTCCCTTACTGAAAGGACCATGTCCGTGACCACAGACTCCACAGTAACTACATCTCCATATGCCTTCACTCGGGTCACTGGGCCTTACAACAGATACATATAATGTCACCCCTTTTGTTGGTTACCTCATTTGAAAAGACCACAACCAACCTGTCAGTCATGTAGTTCTCGTGACATGGGCAGTGGGGAAAGGACACAGTACTCATGATAAATGTGGTGGGAAAAACCTTGGCTCACCAGCGAAATAGAGGTGATTTTACCATAGCACTTAATTTCCACTGACTTATAAGTGGTCACAGATGGCATCTAGGAAAAAGACCAAAGCATTCTATGCAAAAAGAAGGTGGGGAAGAAAAGTGTTTTGCAATTTGCATTTTTAAACACTGGTTTTATTATTGGACGAGATGATATGTAAATGTGATTTTCTTTTTTTTTCCTTACAACTCTACACATCTGTGACCACTTTTAATAATATCAAGTTTGCATAGTCATGGAACACAAACAAGTACTGTAGTATTACAGTGGCAGGAATCTTAACATACCATCTGGTGCTGAATATACGATGTACTGAAATACTGGAATTACGGCTTTTTAATATGCAGTTTTTACTGTAATCTTACAATTAACTTTTATTTATCAGATAGCTAGAGGAAGCATGAATGAACAGACAGCAAAACACTGAATTTGTTTGGATGCTCTAAGAAATGGTGCTAAGAAAATGGTGTCTTTAATAGTTGAAAATTTAATGCCTTTATATCATCAAGATGCTATCAGTGTACTCCAATGCCCTTGAATAGGGGTACCTTTCATTCAAGTTTTTATCATAATTACCTATTCTTACACAAGCTTAGTTTTTAAAATGTGTATAGTTTAAAGGCCGCTGGATTTTGCTCATCCAGTGACGTCCTTGTAGGACAATAAACGTATATATGTACATATATATTTACATGTATGTATATGTACACACGTATATGTATAAATATTTTAAATGGTGTTTTAGAAGCACTTTGTCTACCTAAGCTTTGACAACTTGAACAATGCTAAGGTACTGAGATTTTTTTTAAAAAAAAAAAAAGTTTACTTTCATGTTAGAATGCAAAGTTAATTTTTTTTTAGGGAAACAAGGAAACCTTTGAAAATGTTTTTGCTTTTAGCCATGCATCTGCTGATGAGCAGTGTGTCCATTTTTAATACAGCCAGTTAAATCCAAAACGGGGCTTACTGGATCCACAGGAACACGTTAGACACAAAACACATGTTTTCTGGTGCTCATCTCTCATGCTATACTGTAAAACAGTTTTATACAAAATTGTATGACAAGTTCATTGCTCAAATATGTACAGTTTTAAGATTTTCTATTAACTGCAGGTATTAGTTCACCGCATGCTACAGACTCAACAAAGCTAGTTCACTTACACCTATGCTATTTCATGGATCTGTATGCTCTTCAAAGACCCAAATGGCAGTCTGTCTTTGTGTTGATAATTATGCGCAGCGTGAGGCTGTCATTTCTTAGCTTAAGTGTCCTCTTTCCCAGGAAGACTGAGCAGACTGATGCCTGCATAAGAAACAGGGTTAGTTCTGTGTGAATCTGTTGATTAAAAAGAAACAAAAACAGGCAGCTGGTTTGCTGTGGTGGTTTTAAATCATTAATTTGTATAAAGAAGAAGTGAAAGAGTTGTATAGTAAATTAAATTGTAAACAAAACTTTTTTTAACACAATGCTTTAGTATTTTAGTACTGTAAAAAAATTTTAAATATATATAAACATATATACATTATATATATATATGGGTTTGAAGCAGAATTCACATCATGATGGTGCTACTCAGCCTGCTACAAATATATCATAATGTGAGCTAAGAATTCATTAAAGGTTTGAGTGATGTTCCTACTTGTCATATACCTCAACACTAGTTTGGCAATAGGATATTGAACTGAGAGTGAAAGCTTATAGCATTGTGTACCATCATTTTTTTCCAAGTCTTTTTTTTTATTATTATTAAAAAAAAAAAAAAAAAAAAAAAGCATACCTTTTTTCAATACTTGATTTCTTAGCAAGTATAACTTGAACTTCAACTTTTGTTCTAAAAATTCAGGGATATTTCAGCTCATGTTCTCCTTATGCCAACATGTCACCTGTGTTTATGTAAAATTGTTGTAGGTTAATAAATATATTCTTTTTCAGGGATTTAACCCTTTTATTTTGAATCCCTCCTATTTGTATATGTACCGATGTAACTAAAACTAATTTTGTAAATCTGTTGGTTCTTTTTATTGTAAAGAAAATCATTTTAAAAGTTTAGGGAATCTTTTGACTGTTTCAAGCAGGAAAAAAATTACAGTAAGTCCCCAGATCACGAGCATCCAATTTGCGGACAACTCGTACTTGCCTTTTAATGTTGTGCAAATTTGCCCTCACTTTGAAACAACAGAACCAACCATTACTGGCAACACATTCTCCATCACAGCCACCTTAACGTGCTGCATGTGCAGCTTTCAAAGCATTGAAATGACTTCGAGTCCTGTCTCGCACTCAAGTAAGGCTAAATAAGAACCATGCGCACCTGTTCTGACTTACCTATACATTCGACTTAGAGACACACTCAGGAAAGGAGCTCATTCGTAACCTGGGGACTCCCTGTACATGAAAATAGAATGCACTGAGTTGATAAAGGGAAAACTGTAAGGCAGGAGTTTGGCAAGTGGCTGTTGGTTAGAGTCTTTTAACTCTCTAAAGCTTATCTGAACCTGTAATAAATACAGGTGCCCAATCCATGAGGCTTCCCTAAACCAGCAAAGCACTAAGAGATATGGTGTGCAATATATTGTATTATTACCTTGTGCTCTAAGTACAGTTTTGCTTACTAGGATTTCAAATAAGTTCTTAATCAAAGGAGGCCTCTCAGTTTTATTGGTCAAATCTTTATAACATGACTTTTGTCTTTTAAAAAAATTGACTGTATCCACTTTAAATACAAACATTTCAAAAATGTTTGCTTTGTATACATCGAACCACATGATTTTAATGTTTTGCATATACCATGATTATAAACCCAAAATATCTGGTTACTACATGGGCATTTGTTGGTTTTGAGTCTGCCATCCCTGATGAATATTTGGTTTCTGTATCTTCCACTGTCATTTGTCAAACTGCTGGCCAACAAGAGCAGGAAGTGCAGTCTGAGGAGCTGGGGAGAGGTTAGGTAGAAAGGGGGAGAGGGAAGTGACTTGCATATTGTAAATATGAGATCTATAATTGTAAATATCAAACCTGCCTCAGTTAGAATGAATGGAAAGCAGATGTACAATTTGCTTATATAGGAATATCAGGTTGACTATATAGCCATACTTGAAAATGCTTCTGAGTGGTGTCAACTTTACTTGAATGAATTTTTCATCTTGATTGACGCACAGTGATGTACAGTTCACTTCTAAAGCTAGTGGTTAACTTGTGTAGGAAACTTCTGAAGTTTGACACTAAGATAATGGACTTCTGTGTGCATTTTTTCTATGCTTTTTTAAAACTTAGTTTCATTTCATGAAATGTTTGGTTTGTCTATAAAATCTGAGGATGGTTATAAATACTGTAAGTATTGTAATGTAATGAATGCAGGTTATTTGAAAGCTGTTAATTATTATATCATTCCTGATAACGCTATCTGAGTGTTTTTAATAAAATTTATATTTATTTAATGCACTCTAAGTGTTGTCTTGCTGAAGCTTCTGTTTACTGCCTGAAAAACTGTCACCTCACTCAGGAAAAAGGGAATGAAAAGAAAAAAAAAAAAAATTTAAGACAATGGGTGGCACAAATGGTTAAGTGTTCAACTACTAACCAAAAGGTTGGTGGTTTGAACCCACACAGAGGTGCCTCAGAAGACAGGCCTGGTGATCCGCTTTCAAAAGATCACAGCCTTGAAAACCCCAGTCTGCACACATGGGGTCGCCGTAAGTTGGAAGTGATTCGACAGCAGCTAACGACAACAATGTTCATAATGTCAAACTATACCTACTGTTATATTTTATACCTAAGATAAAATCCAAAAAATTAAGGCCAAGGTAGTTCTCTGGTTACTAGCCCAGATATTCAGCTTACATTTTTTTAAGCTTACATTTTATTATTTATTTATTTTCCCATATAAAAATTTATGCAAACATTGTTATGTGACTCTAATTGCTCTCCCCATACTGTGACAGCACACTCCTCCTCCTTTCCACCCCTGACTCCCCATGTCCATTCAACCAGCTCCTAACCCCCTCTGCCTTCCCATCTCACCTCCGGACAGAAGCTGCCCGTTTAGTCTCTTGTACCTACTTGAGCAAAGACGCACACTTCTCACAAGTTTAAGCTTACATTTTAGCCTGTTTACTTTGCATTTGTTGTTGCTACTGTCAGGTTGATTCCGACACATAACACCACCACATGTGCAGACGAGAACTGCTCCATAGAGTTTTCAAGGCTATGGCCTTTTGGAAGCAGATTGCCAGGCCTGTCTGATTCCAAGGCGCCTCTGGGTATGTTCGAACCCCCAACCTTTAAGCTAGCAGTGAAGCATTTAACAGTCTGTGCCACCTTGCATGTGTAGACAGGGTAAATCAGGAATGGAGTAATAACAATTTTCCTGACCTTAGACTGACTGCCCCATTCAGTGTGCTGTCTGTGAGGACTATCACTGACAGCATGTACAATGGGTTTGAGTTCGTACTGCCTAAGTCTAAGGCCACGTGTTTTCAGACTCTTATCTTCCTCTTCACGCCTGTTTTTCTCTTCCTGCCTGTCAGAAAGGCAGGCAGGCGAGTGTCAGGCAAGTTTCAAGCAAGAGGAATGGGGAGAGGTGTCCTGGAAGACATCACACAAATGTGGATGTCCTCATCCAGTCCCAATGGCTTCAAGGGGGTCCAGACTAATTTGTCCTCGTGTCTACCCATTCTCTTCCCTGTGAATCACCCTGACACAACACAAGTAAGGTGCTGCTGAAATGCTCCCTAGAACCACAAGATATTATTAAACATACCGAACAGTTGTATGAGTCTTCCAATCCTCTGTCCTCCCCAAATTGTCAGAGAAAAAAAATTCATCAGGCATGAAGTAAGGGAATTCCCTTTTCCTTATTTCCCTCTCTGCGCCGCCTAGGCCAAATTTGATTTAAATACAGTGGCTGCCATTTAGTAACCTTTGAGCTCATCGACTGGGAGATTCCTCCAGGACTCTGCTTCAAGCCAGGATATTAAGTTACAAAGTAGTGATCTAATGACTTTCTTTTTAACTTCAAACCTCTGGGCACATTATCAACCTTAATGTCACCATCCATCATCTGACTGAACCCTGAGAAAGCGCCCATCGTTCACATTTGCAAGTCTCCACAGCCCAGGGCAAGCAGGACTTGAGACTCAGCAAACTCAAAAAGTTTTTACTGCTAGAGCCCCAGCCTGGATGAGGCTGGTGATGCTTGCCTGCTGTAAATGAAGGTGCAGGCAGGCCCGCTGCTTGTGAATGTCCAGACTGCGGACTTCAACTGGGGCTGGGGGGGTATGCTGCAAATGACAGATGAGCCAGCATTCACAAAGCCTTACTGGCCCTTTGCATCCCCTGGAAATAACTGCCAAGAATGAACCCTTTCATGCAAATATGCACACGCTCAGCTGCCCAGTCACAGAGTACCACTTGCCCCTTTCCTCAATCTCTTCAGTTGGGTTTATAGTTAAAAAAAAAAAACAAAACAAACTGCTCTACTAATTTTAGCTTTGCTGTGACTCCTGCCTAATTCCCCTGCTCTGCGCTCCATCAGCTGTGTGAAACCAGATCAGTGACAAAAGCCGTTACTCATCAAGGCATCCACCTACTCCTCAAGCTGCTAAGAATTTCAAATTGGTTTTGTTGATTTAATGGCCATCTGGAGCGGAGTCTCCACCAAAAAAAGGAAAGTTGAGGGAGTATATTTTCTCTCCAAGATCAAGGGAGAGGAGGGCACTTGTCGCATGAAGAGGCATTTGCTCACTAACTTCAGTCTCTGGACTTCTCAGGTAGCGGGGCTGAGCACTCTCTCCCTGCCTCCCTCCATCCTGAGAACTATAATTTCAGCCTCAGGTTGCTGTCAGAGTAGTGAGAACACACTCTCAAACGATGCTGAGAAGTAACTGCAATGACAGACGATTTCAGTTTTACCAGCACACTCTTCAGTTTCACTAGAACAAAGGTACTTTTGTTCCCATATAGTCTAGGCCACCTGCCTACATTTCCCTCTCTCTTACCAGATAATTTATTAAAAATTTCTCTGGTTGTCTAGCTCAGCATTCAGTCTTTAACGGAGCCATTCTCTTCTTCGCACGTACATTTGATGGCTATGCTTTCTTTGGGAGTTTCCTTTTAGACTGTTTCAAAAGAAATTTCTGTTTCACTTTGACATTTAACTTTCTAATCAATTCTTAATTCAAACTGAAATGGGATTTCTACTTAGGTGTTCAGTGAAACAGTAGTTACATAAAGACAACCCGCATCTGCCCTCCCAGCACAAGAATGAATTCAGATAATTCACTGAAGTAAGGATTTATAGGCATATTCACTGAGCACTTGCTTTTATTTCTCGCATAGAAGAGTCATATGATTATATAAAATCACCTAAGTAGAAATGTAGACAGACAAGAAAAGATGCCCAAGGACTGAGCCTGAGACCACTCCAATGTTTACAGTTTGAGAACAGAAAAGAAAGCTACAAGGGCAAGGGCTGGGCATGGAGAGAGAGAGAGAAATGTTCTAGAAAGCAAGTGAAGAAAAGGCTTTAAGAAGAAAGGCATACTCAAATGTGTCAAATGCTGCTGAGAGGTCAAGACAAGGCCTGAGAATGGACAACTGGATTTAGAAACATGGAGGTTACTGGTGACACAAAAGCTGTTTTGATGAAACGTTGTTATTGTTAGGTGCCATCAAGTCAATTCTGACTCAAAGCCACCCCATGTGACAGAGTAGACAGAACTGCCCACAGGATTTTCTTGGTTGTTATCTTTATGGAATATTGCCAGGTCT